TCCCTGCTCAGCAGTCTCTGAGCCCTCCTAGAGTCTGGGTTTGGAAACTTCCTTCTGTATAGGATTTCCCTGCAATTGTGAGTTCTGTCCCTCCTCTGCCTCCATTAGACTTAACATAGCAGCCATCCTACTGTGCACCTCTTTTTCGAGGAGAGAAAATGTGTGTAGGCATGTGTGTGTTCATTTCTTTCCTCTTCCTCCCAAAAAAGGCAACTTGAACCGCCTTATCTTGTGGTGGTGTTTTGAACTGATACTCTCCTGAAGCAAGTTTCTTAAAACAGAAGTAATGCAGCTACAGAAATAAGCATATAGCTTATGTATTCAGTGTGGAGGTGTGTCTACGAACCTGCCAGGTGGATCCAAGGACAGAGCAACACCACCACTGAGAGACCCTTGTGCCGCCTCAGGCACAACCTTCCTCCCCTCACACCAGAGTAATCTTGACTTTAATACCAAGGATTTGCTTTAGCTATTTTTGGACTTCATATCATGGAATCAAACAGCTGTACTCCTTTGCATTTTTGATCAGTTCAATGCCAAAGTCAAACCCAACCTCTGATAACTGCATCAACTTCTCCCACAGAAACTGCCCGACTCTGGGTCCAAAAGCAAAGCTCAAACCAGTACAAAGGCTATTTTTTAGGTGGGCAACCACTAGGGAGCCTATCTCAGCAGCCTGTCTGTGCTCCAGGGTCTGGCTTGGAATCACTGGGGTGGGAGTTCTGGGGGGCTTCAGTTGGCCTTATTGATGGTCACGTTGGAGTAGATGCTAAAACAGCAACCACCAGAGAAGGTCAGTTTTGGCTACAGACATCAAAGAGGTGTTGAGCAGTGGGCATGTGTGCTTCTGAGCAAACCCTCCCGAGGAAGATACCATTAGCTTATAAATGGAACTGGAACTTCCTGATTATGGTCATTCCCAGGAACCCAAGTGAGCCATTGAAAAGAGAATTGGCCTTTAGGATTGTGGTGGACTCCAGCTGGTATCATCAGCTTGATATTAAAAACTGCTATTCAGTAACTTTCAAGGAAGTCTTTGAAAAATACCTCTCTGGGAGCATCTTTCCACCTCCAAAGATCTGGCATGGTGCTTCTACAACACACAGCTCACAGGATTTTATAAGTTAAGTTGTACTGTCAAGGCCAGCTGGTAGCCTGGGACCGCCCACTGCTGAGCTCAGCCCTGTGCAGTCTGCACCCTTCAAGATATCAAGTGGATTCTGCTCACAGAAATTGTTCTTGACAATTGCTCCTTGTTATCTGTGGAAAAGTTCTTTTGACTATTCATGACCATAAGCTGAATATGAGAGGAGATTCAGTGTGCAAATGTTTTGCCTGTATAAAAATAAGAGCTCATATTGTTTTATTCAATAATAAATTGTTAAAGGAAAAGAATATTAATGGTTTTGTCAGAGAAGAGATCTTTTTGTTAAAGGTACTGCTTTTATCAAGTTGCTCTAACAAAGTATTATAAGTAACAAATTAAGTTCATTACCAACTTCAGCTCAGTCTCTGAGTACAAGAGCAGGAAGGAGTTGTATAGGGCTGCCATCATCTGCTACTGTAACATAACACTGTGACTTTGTGTGTGTGTGTGTGGGGGGGGGGGTGTCCAGAGCTTCTTATTCCAAACCATGGGTCTGCCAGGGAAATCCTACCATGGATTTTGGTATCAGTGGGATTCCCATGAAGCAAATGTGGATGACACCATGAGTAGGTAATAGAAGCTTGGAGTGTGCAGTATGGTTCTCAATGTTGCTCTTATTCCCATGGTTCTCAATGTTGCTCTTATTCCCAATGTATGAGGAGATTATTTCTGCTCTCTGCACAAGTGGTCTATAAAAAAAAAAATCACACTGTCATTCTGAGGGTACATTGGTGACAATACTTAAATAGGAATCTGTGATATTTTAGCTTCAATCTTTGCAAAAGAGATTACTAGGGGGCAAGGGATTTACAGAAAGGTTTCAACCTTCTTCTCGTCTCAAGCTTTGGGTGGAAGTCAGGGTATGAAGAAAGAAGTCATTCCACATGGGGACTTCAGATTAGGGGGCCTCCCCTTCCACTTGATCCTGCTTCAGAGAGGACCAATGAAACACTCACACAGCAATAACAAGGTCCCTTGTCAAACAAATAGCAAGCTTTCGGTGAACATGATAAAGCCCCCCAAAAAGAGTCACAAATGAGAAACACATTAAATATGGGGCTACTTTACCCTGATGATGGGGTACTGACCCCAAGGGACTTGAGGCTATAAATACCAATGGATACTAATAAACATAAATGGTCAAAACATAGTTCTGTCTGTATTTTTACAATATATGATGCTTAACACAAATGTTTCCAAAGAACTGTGCGCCTGAATCAAGGCAGAAGCCCACAGGACAACTGTCACTCTAAAAAAGAGATTTGCTCAGCTCAGCCCTAGAGGGCACAATGTGAGCCAAGGGGAGGAAGTTAAAGAAATGCAAAAATTTGATTCTATTTAAGGAAGAGCTTTCTAACAATCTGCGTTCTCCAAAAATGGAACTGGCTGACTCTAGAAGTCTAAGTGTTCCAGCAGAGCTGGGTGGCCATCTGTCAGGGACAGTGGAGCTGGCCAGCACCAGGCCTGAGGCCGAGCTTGTGGATCCAGTCTGAGAGCCTGGGTGTACAAAGGCGTGTTGAACTGATCACATCTCAGGGCAAACTAAACACACTGGGGAGAGGGTACAGACCCACAGCTTCAATTTGTGACCTCATGTTTTGTCCTGAGAAACCCAAGAAGGGAAATGATATGCTGCTCAAAAAGAACTTCCAGATAACCCAGAGAGCGTGCCTTGCCTTATTTTATTGCCTACCAATTTCTTGGCATTTCATGCTTTACTAGGATCCTGAGTTAAAAAAAAAAAAAAAAAAAAAGAAGACAAAATAAGCCAACAATGTCTAGGACCACCAGAGGAAGGTACTTTGTGAGAGCTTGAAATTGGAAAAAATAAATTAAGCTCTAGACAATCTTAAAGTATTTATCTACTCCTCTGCCATCATTTCTTTACCACAGAGTTAATTAAGAGTCACAAATAGAGCTGGGCTTGGTGGCACACACTTGTAATCCCAATAGCTCGGGAGGTTGAGGCAGGAAGATCACAAGTTCAAAGCCAGCCTCAGCAAAAGCGAGATGCTAAGCAACTCAGTGAGACTCTGCCTCTAAATAAAATACAAAAGAGGGCTGGGGATGTGGCTCAGTGGTTGAGGGCCCCCGAAAAGAGTCACAAATGTGGGGAAAGAGTGCTTCTTTCATATGCCATGCTTAGGACAAAAAAAAAAAAAAAGACAAAGGGCAGAGAATTCAGTGGAAAAAAACCAGACTCCTAATGAAAAAATGGAATTTCTACACTAGGCTCACAATCTGATGGCCATTAACCTGGTGTGATTCACACAAAGCTCTCCATCTCACTTCTCTCTCCAAGGCATGAGAAAAACCATAACACAAAAACACTACCCAATAAATGAAGACTTTAAATGATTCTCAACAGAGAGCTCAGACTTTCCAAGATTGCAGAAAATGAAAGATGAGCATCTTGCAACACTGACAACATTTGGTGTATCATTTTCTTTTCAGTTTTCCCATGTATTCCTTACTATCCCCCTCAAAATGAAGTAAATCTATTTGTTAGAAATAAAAAGAAAGACCTAAATAAAGCTGTACAGGTGACAATACCGACTATTTAAACAGCCAGCCTGTAAGTGAAAACCTAGCAGTACCAGTGGTAAACAACTCTGTACTCACTTAAGGAGGGGACGATGGGTTTTAAAATGTCAGCTCAGATCAGTTACTCTTCAAAAGAGCCCTCACAATTATTTTCTTGGATAACCTGAAGCAGTAACTACTGCAAGCAAGTCCAATGTGCACACAAAGGTAAGGCTAGACATCATCCATGTCACACAATGGGAAGTGGCAGTTCCCACGTCCTCAGCCCAGTGATGGGATTTAGATGTAGTCTTAGTAGGGCCACCAAGGATCTGTCTTTGAAATTTAATCCGCACAACATGGTATCAGGAGGGTGGAAACTTAATCCTACCACGGTGTTTAGAAGGTGGGGCCTTTGAAAGATGATTAGGATTAGACAGATTCCTTAGGGTGGAGCCCCATGATTGAATCCTGGTGACCTTATAAGACAGACTAGAAAACACACACACACACAAAAAGTGCATGTACACCCACAGCTGCACGTATGCACACATTTCTTGTCTCATGGCATGTAATGTTCTGTGCCAGATCCAGCCTTCAACCTTGTACTACAAACTCAGAGCCAAATTAAATCTCTCTCTCTTTTTTAAATGAAAGTTACCTAGTCTCAGGTTATTTCATTATAGTGATATAACACAGACTAACACAGCAGGAGAAAGGATGCAGCATGAAGACAGAGAACCAGGCAAGGTGATAACTGAACAGAGCTCCTGGACCTGCCCACGGACATCACACAGCTACTTGCCTTAGCTTTCCCCTTAAGCAACAGTGCCTGGGACTGTGCCATGAAACACCATCAATCTCCGAGAGGGAGGAAAACGTTTCTGCTGTTTCCTTCTCTAGGCCTAAAAGCCAAATGGATGGAATTTTGTAGGACAGAGAAGATGTGATGGATAGAATGACAGAGTCAGCCCTGAGGACATTTTTGGAGGTGGTCATTCCACTTCAGTGTCCTTTGGAATTTTGATGCAGGGAGACAGATACCTGTGCAAGGGTCCAAAGCACAGAAGTGTCAGTTTACATAACACCCCAAACTCTAAAATCTCCAGGAAATGACACACAACGTATTTCTCCATTTTGATCTCTTAGTTCTAATAGATTTCAGAAAAGGCAACTAGGAAGATGTCAACATTTCAAACAGATCTTTTTAAAAAACAAAATCAAACGATCAGAAAGAGGAAACGTCTTCCCTCGAAGTGCACAAGATCCCCTGCTCTCCACTGAGGCAGTGGCTTGGCTGTGATTGGGTTCCCGCCCGTGGGCCACTCACCTAGCGTGTCCTTGAGGTTCTTCACCAGGGAGCCCTTCTTCAAGCTGTTCTTGCGCTCCACGTAGTTGGACGGCACGTACCCCGTTCTGTTGGCTGCGTTCCTCACCCGCCACCACGTCTTGGAGTCATCCAACAGCCACAGGCGCTCGTTCTTTTTGATGTCAAGCTCTTGGTCCTGCTGGGCAGTGTAGTCCCACTTGGCTATAACAATGACTTCTTCTGTCATCTTTCATGGAGTCCTTCTGCCAGCAAAACATTTGGAGAAACTCATTAGAGGACCACCCGACTTGAAAAATCATCCTTTGACCAACTTGAAAAATCAGGCCATGACAGCTCTTATTACAGCTCTGCCACCAGTTTTCTCCAGGATATGGAAGGCCTCAACCTTAAAATGACCTTCTTTCCACAAGCTTTCCTATTTTGCTTAAAAAAGCAAGCTTAAAGAAATCCTGCGCTACTGCTTGCTGAACACTGGGAATCCTGCATGTTCCACCAAAACCGAATACAAGCTTGCAAATCATTCTAAATAACAATGTTATTATTAAATGTGCTCACTAGATTAAATAACTCTACCTCCTCATAGCTGATAAGTTCACATTCATTTTCTGGGTACATGCTGAGGTCACCACGAATGTGCTTAATCAATATAACTCACCCAAACTACTCTGAGAAATTAAATTGAAAATGCAGTGTTAAGGCAATGTGGTATCCTGAATTGGATCATGAAACAGAAAAAGGAAAGTGGTGCAAATACTGGTGAAATCTGAATAAAGTCCAAGTGACAGTAATATACCAATGTTAATTTCTTGGTTTTGTCAATGCAACATAAGTGGAAAAGTTAATATAATGTTAACGTAAATGGAACATTACAACATGAGTGGAAACTAAACAAAGGGTATACAGGAATGCTCGGTGCTATTTTTACAACTTCCCTGTAAATTATTCTTGAAACATGATGCTCACACACAATCCTGAGCAGAGATGTTTATGGAAGCCCTATCCATAACTGCCAAAATTTAGAAGTTGTAAAGATGTCCTTCAGCATGTGAATAGATATATAAAACTGAGGTATATACTGACAATGGAATACTATTTAGCACTAAAGTACAAGCTGTCAAGCCACAAAAAGACATTAAATGTGGGCTGGGGTTGTGGCTCAGTGGCAGAGTGCTTGCCTAGCACACATGAGGCACTGGGTTTTATCCTCAGCACCTCGTAAAAATGAAATAAAGATATTGTGTGTGCACCTGCAACCAAAAACAAAAAATAAATATTTAAAAATAAAAGACAGTAAATGCATTTCACTAGGTGAAGGATGCCAATCTGTGAAGCCTGCATACTAGATGATTCTGACAGGCTTTCACTGATCACACTGTGGTCAGGCTCCTCTGAATCTTTTTCCCAACAGGCCTTGACTTTTATATATTTATATCTATATTTGTATCACCCAGTGTTAGCAAGAATCCTGCTGAGCTGATCTTCACAGAACCTCCCACTTTCACTCTCTGATCAGAATCTTCATCTTCCCCCTTTCTCCATATGATGTCTGATTGCCCTGGCCTGTTTAATTCTTTTAGGTCCATTATGCCAGAACCCTACCTTTCCCACAAAGTTTCCTCTTAGCCTTTAACTATACATGCTCAACTTTTCCTGTTTATATACATACTTTTAGTTGTAGATGGAAACGATATCTTTATTTTTTATGTGGTGCTGAGGATCAAACCCTGTGCCTCATACGTGTGAGGCAAGTGCTCTACCCTACTGAGCTACATCCCCAGGCCTTTTCCTGGTTTTTATTAGAGTTGAACCCAATCTCTTTCCTCAACTGCAAAGTTCCACTGTGTTGTCATCATAAATAAAGTCTGCCTTACAGTCCTTTAACAAATGTCATGAATAACAATTCCAACTATATGACATTCTGAAAAAGGCAAATCTCTGGAGACAGTAGGAAGATCAGTGGTTACCAGGGTTGGGGGAGGGGGCGAGTAGGCAAAGACAGAATTCTTAGGGCAGTTAAACTACTCTATTTAATACTATAAGAGTGGACATATGTCACTATGCATTTGTCAAGACATAAGATATCCAACATCAAAAGTGAACATAATATTAAAGTACTCCAAAATTAAGACAATAAAAATACTATGTATCTAGTAAAATCAATATGGGAAGTAATAAATACCAAAAATATGCCAGAATAAATTAAATGAATATACTTTCAGCAGCTTCATGTGTTAGGTAAAAGATGGGCGAGTGTTCTCTCAGCAGAAAAGAATCAATATTCAGTCCTTCCACTGTCTAGACAGTTCCCAAAACTTTGGAAAGAAGAAATGAAGAAAAGATGCTCAATAAACCCCATTTCCTCCTCAATGAGTTCTCATCTTATAGAGTTGAGCTCAGGATTATGGAGGGAACCTATGATACTACCATTTTTAAATGATATGACACTGTACTAAAAGACATTTATAAATAACATATAATCTCTTTCCTAGGTCAACTTCCAAATTTGGAGATAACAAACCTTTTGGGAAGGAGAAAGGTAAATCTTACGCATATGTACATAATATCCCAGAGGGCAGTTTATACAATACTTGTGTCTAAACCAGAGACACTTTCGTTATCTATGCTTCTTAATTACACAATTTCTAAAATAGTTTTTTAACAATAACAGCCCATCACATGAGACCAATCATGATCTAGGCAACAAAAGCTATCAAAAAATTTTTTTCTACATGATCAGCAAATAAGGAGTGGCTTGGGAAAATCCAATTCAATGCATACTGCACGTCACATAGGAACATAAAATACAGCATTGCCTGACCTCTACCACCAGCCAATCGGAACCTTCCAAGTGACTGTCAGGCTTTAGAAGGTGAAAAACAAGTTCACTGGTTTTCATCAGTGAAAACCTCAAGGACGCATCCCAGGGGTCACACTGCCAGTGGCAATGGGGGAGAAAGGTTCCTTTGGTTTAGGAAAAACTCAGAAAATGTTGCTTCAACTTGTTTAATTTTGAGAACACTGCGCACCCGCGGTTTAAAGTCAGAGAGGTGCCCTCTTGTAAGAGGCTGAGGATCTCAGGGAGTCAGTAACTTGGGCCAGGGCAGAGCCAGGGTTGGAGCCCAGGTCTGCTGCTCCCAGATCTGTGGGAAGGAGCTCCCTGGGGGGGTGGGGGCTGGGAGGTCTAAAGTCCCGTCAAGTCCCGTCGTACAGCAGGCTTATTCCCACCCAGGAAATCTAAGATTCTAGGACACTTGGGAATGACAAGTACCGAAGCCCCTAGCACACGACTGTTCCTTGGCCCTCGCGGCAGGATCGATCCCTATCCGGATTCATGAACGACGGCCTCTTAACAATAAAAATGGCTTCCGAGACCAGCCAATCAACAACCGCCTCACTCTAGAGAAGTCCACCAATCAACGATGGCCTAACTCCAGTGAGGGCGCTTTGGTGAGCGAGCCAATCAACAACTGCCTTACTACAATGCCCCCGCACGCCAGCCAATCGAAGACAGCCCCACTGGTATAGCTGTGCGTTTGCCCTTTAAGATCAACTCACTTGGACATATGAAGGCCTCTGGAAGCCATGCTCCCCCAAATCCATGGCGAACCCAGCCCTCTGCACAGAAGGCCGACTTGGTGGTCCTGCTTTCTGCAGTGAACTAGTGGAACCAATCCAATTGGTTCCTTGTTCTGATTCTGAGTGTAGCCGTGCACAGATACGATAAAATTAAAACCAATCTTTTCTGTAGGCCTGTAGATAACTGCTCTTTCAGCTCTTTGCCAACAAGGCTTGGAAAGGCTGGAAGCCCATTCTGGAGGGTCTTGCATGCTGGACAAGAGTTGAAATCCCCCTGAAGCTTCAGGTAGGTATTTCTTAGAAGTCCAACGGGGAAAACATGGTATTTTGGGTCAAGAATAAATTGCTGTGGCATTAGATAGGCTGCACCAGAACAGGAAGCAAATGGAGATGAGTCACTATTCATAATAAAATAGACATGCAAACAGACTTAGATCTCCAATATGGATAAGCCCCAACAGGGTAAAAAAAAAAAAAAAAAAGAGGTCTGAAATGTACATTCTAATAACTACTTAACATTTAAATCAGAGACAGTAAGGATAGAATCATAGGGGTCAAATCCAAAGCATAATGTATGGTTCTCTGGTTCTCTCTCCAGCTTACACAGGTCAAGACAATTTAATTTTTGCCTTCATTAACTACAACTAGTTTATCACTGGGGTCTAGCTCCCAGAGAGAAGAGCCAGCAAATCTGATGTTCTATAGCTAGATCACATCTTTTATGTCAGGTGACTGTGCTAGAACAGAGCTTGGCAAAAAACCCAAGTTACGCTGAAACAAATCAGCTCTTGGAGAATCTTACAAACGAGGCTGCTTTTTCAAGTCTTCAATGGAAGAAGTTTTAGAACAAACAGAATAAAACAGATAACATTTTCGGCTCAACAGTTTTCACTACCCCCTGAAATAACACTGATCCTATTTTCGGACCCTATTTTCTTTCTAAAAGCATTCCCATTAGCTGTATCTTATGGATTACACATTTCTCATAACAGCCAGTTCTTGGCACAACACCCCTAAGTGGTCACAGATACTTTTAACAACATCAAGGGTCCAAGCTAAACTGCTTGGTCATAAAGGCGAACAGAAGAGGAGTCAGGGATCTGAGATTCTAAACTTAACTGCACTGTGAGTCCACCTTTGACATGAGCTTATTTTGTAAGAGGGAATAGCAATACTTGCCCAAAAAGGCACACCAGATGCTAGGGAAAGCAGGACAATGTGGTTAGGACAGTGGGGCTGTATGTTCAACAGGCAAGGGCTGGTGTTCTGCTTAGCCCAGCTGCCTCTCCTACCAGGTGGCATAATAATGACTCACTCAGGAGCTTCTAAAGAAAGTCCTGAGCTTGCTGTTAGGCACAGAAGAGCCTCAAGAATGGCAACTGCAGTCAATGAGACACTCTGGGGAAAAAAAAAAAAAAAGCAGGGTAATTCCTAAGGTTGGGGTCGCATTCTGTGTAATTCTTCTATCATTTAACAAGGATTTGCTGAGTGTTTTATGGGCACCAAGTTTCTCTGGGGGGCAAGATGAATCTGGTGTCTGCTGTCTTGTGATCCAAGCCTGAGAATAAGTGTCACCTACTCTGAAATACCTTTCCTGGAAGCTAGGTGCAGTGGTGCACATCTGTAATCCCAGTGACTCAAAAAGCTGAAGCAAGAGGATCTAAATTTGAAGCCAGCCTGGTCAATTTAG